AGACACTAGCAGAACCATAAACCAACAACAAAATCCCACCAAAAACACAGAGCGAGATGACAGCAATTGACTCATACCTATCGATAATTACACAATATAAATGGACTAAGTGCACCAGTCAAGAGACAGAGCAGAAAGGATAAGAGAACAGGATCCTTCAATAAGTGCTCTACAAGAGACACGTCAAAAAGATGGAGGCAACCTAAATGTCCATCAATAAAGAATTAAACCAACTTTGGTACATACACACAATGGAATGCTACACAACACTGAAGAATAATCATGAATCTGTGAAACATCTCATAACATGGATGAACCTGGAGGACATTATACTGAGTGAAATTAGTTAATCACAAAAGACAAATATTGTTGAGACCAATGTTTTAAAAAGTTAAGTAAAGGTTTTCTTAATAAATGAAACAATCTATGATGGTTATAGCGGAGAGGGGGAAGGAAAATCATTGATGTGCTATAGGTAGACACTTTAACATGGGTGACAGGGAAGGTTAGCGGAGGGACTATGAAGGTAATGGAAGACACAGCGGGGGAATGCAATAGAGGTAAATACTGCTAATTGTTGGAATATAGGGGATTGCAATCATTGTAATGAAGCAAAGTATACAAGTTGCTCAATGTAAAACTGATGATCTGTTCTGTAAATCTTCACCCAATTCATGATAAGAAGTTAAAAGAAAACTGTCTTACCCAATTTCCTGTATGGCCCTATGACGTAAGTCTTATATGAAGGTTCCCACAGGAGATGGGATAAAATGACCGAAACCTTTAAAACAACATTTGTGGGAAGGTTTTTTTCAGGGCTGCCCAAAACGTTGCCACCCATTACCCTATTTGTTCTGGCTACAATCCCAGAAAATATTTTAAAGGTCCTATCTGGGCAATGCCCTTTACCGTCGGGCTTATGCTTGAATGGCAGCTAGAGTTTCACCATCAAATGGTTATAAATATGTATTAGTAATGATTTCTCGTTTTTCATTTTGGCCTTCCCTGACACTGTGCAGTCTCTGTAGCACAGAAATTTCTTGAAAACATCATACCTACAGGTTGTGGCTATTAAGTGCTGTCATGTCAGTTCTGACTCATAGCCCCCCTTGCATAGGGTTTCCTTAAGAGTGGCTGTGGGTTTGAACCGCCAACCTTGTGACCCAGTGCCTTATCCTGCAGCACCACACTAGGAGCTCCAAAAACTCTTTGTAATGATTGGGGAACTCATATCACCAGTCCAGTCATCTACAAACTGTGTTGAGTGTTCACCATTTATCAAAGGCTACGTTGTTCCTGGAGTCCTGGTGTGGTATTGTGGGTTAATGCGTCACACTGCAAAGTGCTCCTTGGAAACCCTATACAGGGTCACTATGGGTTGGAATCGACTTGAAGGCACTTAACAACAACAACATTGTCCCTGTCACCCTCAGTCTTCTGGTCTACTAGAGAGAACTAGTGGAATCATAAAGAGTCAAATAGCAAAACTTTATGAAACTTTAAACTTATCGTAGGCTAAGGTCCTTTCTCAGTTCTGTTATATCTGAGGTCCACACCCTTTGGATCTAAAAAACTTAAGTCCTATAAAATAACTGTTGTTGTTGTGAAATGCCATCAAGTCGGTTCTGACTCATAGTAACCCTGTATAGGGTTTTGGAGGAGCAACTGGTGGGTCTGAACTGCCAGTCTTGTAGTTGGTAGTCCAGTGCTGATCCAACAGCACCACACCAGGACTCCATGAAATAATTAGGGTATAATAATAGTGGAGTCCTCCTGGTGTGGACTGGACTGTGAACCGCGAGGTCAGCAGTTCAAACCCACCAGCTGTTCCTTGAAAACTCTATATAGGGTTGCTATGAGTCAGAACAGCACTTAACAACAGTAAAATAACAATAGGGAAGGCTCAGGTCCTTTCTTACGTTGCCTAGACTGACCCTAACATTGTTCAACCAGAGTTACTACAGTACTGGCAGGCTTTAATCCAGGATTCTAAAGAGTATCTCTCATAGGTTCGAGAATATTTTGACAGACAGAAGCTAGACTCTGGAAGTCTTTCTAGTCTGCCAGGAGAATACATATTCTGGCAGAGATAACAAATCAAAGACTTTATTAGAACATTATTAGAACATTATTTCATCAATCCATGTGCAAACAAATTGGAATAAAATGTTAGATCCATTTGTTATAGTTAAAACAGCCTAAGACTCCCTTTTGGACTAGTCAACCCCCCAGAGAACTGGTTACATTTAAGCACTCTGTGGCCAGAAGCAGACAACATCTGAGGCAGACAGTTGACCCAAGACTCTGGACCAGGCTGAAAATTCACCTCCTGATATTTTTTTTCTTTTTATCTTTGTTACAGTTCTGCCTCTGCTAATGTTTTCCTAGATTGAGCAGATGTTTACGCTCACCATTTAAAAAGGTCCCCTCTCAACCTCAAGTCAGTCTGGCCTTACTTTTGATCTGGATACAAGAACAATGGAGAAATAGTTAATTACTATAGGAAATCACTGTTACTAGATTTTTCATTGATAAATGGCCTCTTTTCAGATCTGAATGAAACAAACTCAGGCCATACTTTTACCTTTAGTATTAACACAAACTGTACTTTACTAAATAAAATCACCCAAGAAAAGCTAGCTAGAGAACCTTCCAAATCCACAAACCATACTCTCTGTATTGTGGGTCTGTATCAAAAACAGTGGGACAGATTCTCCTGGTTAACCCCCTAGAGAGGCTAAATCAGGTTGCTTCTCTGCTGAGAACAATCTAACCACACCTAGTCATCACTAGACCTATGGGACCTTATAAGCTATCAATTAGTTCACCCCCACTGGCTATGACACTCAAGTACCTATTGTTGTTGTTATTAAGTGCCATCAAGTTAGTTCTGACTCACAATGACCCTGTATAAGGTTTCCAAGAAGTAGCTGGTGGGTTTCCCAGGAATGGCTAGCTCACCCTACAGAACTACACTAGGATTCCCAGGTATCCCTTCGGTAGCCTCTGTAGTGCTATAGGATCAGCACTAGACTGCTAACCACAAGGTTGGTGGCTCACATTCGTCAGTCACTCCTTGGAAACCCAATATAGTCTGCTATGAATCCGAACTGACTAGGCAGCACTTACGGCAACAATGGTACCTTTTGGCTCTCTATAGCCCTTATTGTTTCAATTTCTATGATTTGAGTTACAAAATGCTGCTATGCTTCAGTGCACTGTATTCAGGAAATGCTCTATTTCAAACCATCTGGTCCTTCACATAAAATCACAGTTTCCCAGGCCTTCACCAATGACCAACATGTTGTTTAATTACCTCCCTTTTGTCTCCCTGGGCATATTTCATCTTAAACTCTGTCATTCTGTCCTGACTGAGAAACTTTCCTTAAATATGGCCTTAACTGTCAAGATAGTTCCATAAAACCTACTCACCCTGAAGATGAGGCCTATTAGCTGGGCAAGGTGAAGAAAACATTTTTTTATTAACTAAGCCTCCTTAAGGAAACAGACAAAGTCCTTGCAGAAGAAAAGCTACTATGCTGTGATCAGCACCCCTAGATCAAAAGGGAGAAATATGCAGATGAAAACTTTCACACATGGAGACACTCATCTCAAGGAAGGAATGGCAGGATCAGTATGTATTCCCAAGAAGCCAAAGGTCAGGATGTAAACAATTTGTTCCTATAAAGAATGTGTATAACCGAATCTACAGGTACCACTCACCAATGGGAAAAATCATCCCCTACTCCTCCACCCCAAGGAGCTCTGGTAACGTAGTGGTTACGAATCGGGCTGCGAACCTTAAGGTCAGCGGTTTGAAACTACCAGCCGCTCAGCGGGAGAAAGATGAGGCTTTCTACTCCTGTAAAGATTTACACCCTCGGAAACCCTGTACAGGGTCGCTATGGGTCGGACCCAACTCAATGGGCACTTAACAACAACAACAACTCCCCCACCCCAAGTCAAATGGTCCACCTTTACATTTCAAAGGACCCACAAAGCTGGAGCTGCATCAATCATTACCCCCCTACTTTTCTTTTGTTCTCTACATTTAAAAACCTCTAGCTCTACAGAGTTGTAAGTGCTTTATATTTTTTACTTAGATCTGCCCAGCTTAAGCTGTATTGTTGTTGTTGTTAATTGACATCTAGTTCATAATGACCCAGTATAGGGTTTCTGAGGAGCACTTGGTGGGTTTGAACTGCTGACCCTATGCTATGGTTCAAACTGACCTTGAGGTCTAGTGCATCAAGTTGTATTGCTAAGTGCTGTCGAATTGGTTCCGACTCATAGTGACCCTATACAGGGTTTCTGAGGTGCGACTGGTGAGCTTGAACCACCGACCTTGCAGATCAAACTGACTTTGTAGTCCAGTGCATGAACCTGCAGTACCACACCAGGACTCCTCAAGCTGTATTAGTCCGCAGTAAAATGACTTTTTCTTTCACTCCTAACAGAGTACGCAATTTCCTTTTTTGACACCTGTCTGAGGCTCAGTACCCTAAAAAAGAATATAAATAATTGTTCCTCATGGGCTGTTGTGGGTTACATCCAGTAAAGCTTGTGCACCACGTTTGGTTTATAATCCATGCTCATAAACCACAGTCGTGACGTTCATTATTTTAATTATGGGGTCTGCCCATTAAAAGCATTTCTAAGCCTCCCCTCGGAAACAACAGGGAGTGATCAAAACGCAACTCAAAGCAAAAACTCCCCTGAAATGTCAACCTCCAAATTACAGAGAAGACGTAAAGCTGACTTCTGGCTTTGATTAAAACTTGAATACTTTGTTCACTTTGGTTAAAAAAAAAAAATAATAATTAGAGAATGAATTATGACATACAGGACAAAAAATGAAGTAGAAAAATGAGAAATGTCAAAACAGCGCGCCAGTAGCTTAGAGAATATCTATCTTAATTCTGCCTGCTCTGCTGTGAGTTAGAGCAGAGATCTCTCTCAGGGATGCCCGCCCCACCTGCTCCCACCATCTCCAGTCCTACCGGGTCTTCAGCCCAGAGGCCGGCCTGGGTGAAGGGCCTGTCCTGGTCATCGTCCTCGCCATTGGCTGTGCTGGGTCTCCTCAGGGCCTCGTCATACTGCAGGCTGCAGACACTCTCCACATCCACGTCAAATGTCTCATCAGAACAGAAGATGGCCTCAAGAATGTCATCATCGGTTGTGAACAAGATTGTGTCCCCAAAGTGCTCTGGGGCTGAAAGAGTTACCAGGGAGGCAGAGAGTCAACTCACCCCAAAGCCCAGTGATTTTTAAGTAAAGAACATAAATCCATTAACCTTTGTGCAATAAAATCTTGAACCATACACAGTTCTTAATTTGTAAGTCTTATTATTCTACACGTATCTGCAAATGGAATTCAGGGACTACAAGAACCATGTCAGTTTAATGAAGGGACCTAATCTAATTAGAATCATTGTGATCAGTCATCAAGCAGGTGACATTTCTTAGATGTGAATGAGCCAGCATAGCAGATGTGGATGGTGCTCCTGCCTGCCCAGCTCCCGGCTCGTCCCTTTCATGGAGGTCTGGCCTGGAGGGCTCTGGGTAGCCTGATGCCGATGCCTAACTGGCTGTGGGGTTACAGAGACCCTGTTTCTGTGGATCAGGCTGAATGGAGCTTCCCTGCAGCCATATCCTTGCATGGCCTCTCCCCATTCCATTTCCCAAACCTCTCCTGAGTGCTCCCTCAAAGGTCCCTAACTGAGGGTGTAAACGGGTGTCAGAGTGTCAAGCAGGGCTTAGGGAGCAATCTGACAGACAGACCGTACCTCCTGTCAGAGTTCCGGAGGCCTTGGCGATTTCTCCCATAAAGATGCATTGTGCGTCTAAGAGCATCATGATGTCTTTCACACCGCGGAAGGAATGGATCCGTGATTTATTGTAATTCCAAATCCTGATCAGGGCCACTTGGCAGGGGTATGTGAAGTCGATGGTAATGGAGTGGGGCTTGCCTGGTGTGAAGGGCGCCAGCCAGACGTGCATGTCGTCTTGAGTCCTGTTCACCCCATCCATGAGGTTGGCGACCACACGGGGGTCTTTTCCATATGCTGGTAAAATGTTGATGTCAGGGGGGTCTGCTTGAATGCTCAGAATCTGCACTGGTTCGCCCGTGGAACTGAATATTTCTATTCCATTAAGGCCAACGTAGTGTCGGTCCCCCCACGTTGACTTGATATCGATGACCAAGTGCTGTCCATAGGGCAGGACGGGGATTTTAAAGTCGCTGTCATTGTCTGTCTCTAAAGGACAGCCATCCTGGGCCTGCAGCGGCTCTGGCATTCCCCCCTTGCCAGAGGGCGGCAGCTCACTCTGCCGGCTACCTTTCTGCTGCTGCAGGAACTCATCTAGGATGTCCCCCTGGAACTCTGTATTGGAGATGCGCCCCCGATGAGAGAGGTCGAAGGCGCTGAGGGAGTTCCACGACTCGTACAGCATGTGCTCCTGCTTGCTGCGCCACCAGGACCGCGGCAGCATCTGAGTGGACAAGGCATTTTCTGGAAAAAAGTACATAGGAAGGCCACATATGGAAGAATGCTAAATACAAAAACTCCCAGATGTGCAGCTTTGTTGTTGTTAACTGCCATCGAGTCAGATCTGACTCAAGGAGTAGCTGTTAGGTTTGAACCACCAATTTTGTGGTTAGCAGTTCAGTGCTTATCTTACAGAGCCACACCAGGACTCCTATTCATCTAGATTCAACACATTCTAGAGTATGGGGGACAAGCAATGATGTGCTCAGAGGGATTGTTCTGAGTGGTGAGTAGATCTTTGTAACTTTCTCTTCTCAGTTCCCTAGATGGAGTTCATACTGTTTTATCCTCAGGAAAACATGCTATTAAACAAGGCAAATGGCCCAGGTGTAATTACAAGGTAAAGATATGGAATGAATTATGTCTTGGAAAATGTATATTGAAACAATGTATTGAAATCCTGGGCCCTGTGGTTATTGTGCTGGACCGCAAGGCCATTTTAACTGCAAGGTTGGTGGTTCAAGCTCATCAGCTGCTCCTCGGAAACCCTACACAGGGTTGCTATGGGTGTGAACTGACTCAACGGCACTTAACAACAACACAACATACCTTAAATGGAGTCCTGGTGTGATGCTGTGGGTTAATGTGCTGGACTGCAAAGTTGGTTTGAACCACAAGGTCGATAGTTCAAGCTCACCGGTTGTTCTTTGGAACCCTTTTCCGGGTTCCTTTTGGTTGGGACTTGGTTCACGGGCCGTTACCACCACCAACTTCCTTTAATTGGGTTCTTGTTTTCCCCTTTTCGGTTAGGCCTTGGCCCCGGGTTTTGGTTTGAACCACAAGGTCAGCAGTTCAAACTCACCAGTCACTCCTCAGATACACTGTACATATTGCTATGAGTTGGAACCAAGTCAATGGCACTTAAAAACAATATGGCCCTGTTTGGAAATGATGTTTTCTTTGTTCTGCTAATTAGGGCATACCACACTAGAGTAGGTTCTAAGTCTAATCACTCTGAGTGATCAAAAGAGCAGATGGACACAGAGACACACAGAGGGAAGACACACCACGTGATCACGTACCAGCCAAAAAACCAGGAGCGACAGGGGCTACCAACAAGGCAGGAATCAATATGACCTCTCTTAGCCTCCAGAACCGTGAGAAAATACGGAGCTCTGTTGGGCTGCTAACCACAAGGTCGGTGGTTCACACCCACCAGTCGCTCCAAGGGAAAAAGAGGAGGCTGTCTGCTGCCCTCAAGATTTAGTCTCAGAAAGAAACCCAGTGTCGGGTTCTACGATCAGAACTCGATGGCTGTGAGCTCTTTAAAGCTTGTGGTATTTGTGCTACAGCAGTCTTAGGCCATGAACTCACGTCTCCTTGTGGCTAAAACAAGCTCCTAGGTTGCCAGTCCATGTCCTGATCAGCTAGAGAATGGGGCCAGTTGGGCAGAGGGGCAGCGCTGAAAGGCTGCTCTCCTCCGGGGTACAGTAAGCTGTGGCCTGTCCTCACAACTGTGCCATGGCTAACTGCCATCTTAGGGGTGTCACTGTGGAAAAACAGCAGCTGAGAATACAGGCATTGTGTTTTTGCTCCTTTCATATTGCGCTGTGCCCTGCACTCCATTTTCTGCCTGTCTGCTAGGGGGCCGGGCTCCATCAATTATCCCCTCTCTCCCAGAATCTTCAATCATTCTTCCCCACTGGCACCGTCCCTTCTCTGCCTGCAGACATGCATAAATCTCTCCTACCTAAAAGAAAAGAACGGAAAAAAAGAAAGCCAAGCTGATCTTGCGGGCTCTGCCAGCCACCGTCCTATTTTCTTCCTTCCTTTCTCTGTAGACATATTTCCCCTTTACCACCACTGCCCACTCCCCAAGCCCTGCAACCTGACTCCTGACTGCCCACCCAGACATCACTTCCCCTTCTCCTGGGGATGCACCCCAAACTCAAGCTATCTAAGCTGTGTGAATGCTAACAGCATCCCTCAAGCTGGGCCCATGAAAGGAGCCATGGGGAGAGGGGAGGCTAAGCTGGTGGGATGTAGATCTGAGCTACCAGTAGCCAGAGTCTGCCTGAGAATGCATCTAACACAGGGAACATAAGCTGACGATGGAGAGAGAGTCCGTGATGCTGTTGGAGCCTCTGGATCCAGCCATGCCTGAAGCAAACCTCTGGTGGCCTTCTGTCCCTTACATTCATATGACTCCGACAATTACCACAATCATCCACTGAAATGGATTTCTCCAAGTGGCCAATGACTTCCCAGGCAGACCTGTCCACTTGACATATCCTCCATTGGCTTTGGCGCTATCATACCTTCCGGTTCTCTACCTCCCCTGTTGACAGTCCTTTCTCTTTCTACGACCCTTGGCCCCTCCTGTCTATACCTAAGTCTGGGCACATTCCAAAGCATGAATTCAAGCCCCTCGGATTCTTTCCTGACACCACACAACTCCCAGGCAGGCGATGCTCAGTGCTACCCCTCAGGTCCACCCTGGCTCTGCCCCCAGGCTCCATCTTGTACTGCCAACAGTGTCTTGGACACGTCCACCTGGATGCGCCTGTCACTTCAAACTCCATGTGTCAAACAAGTTTGTCATCAAGTCTTCCGATTGATAAGATTTCTACTAAAATGAGAATGATAACATCAGACTCCTTACCGTGCAGACAAGGCCCTGAATGTGGCCCAGCTCATTGCTTAACCTGCTGCAGACACAGAGGCCTGTCGCTCCAGGGACACACCAACCCTCTGCTTGCCTCAGGGCCCTGACTGTACCTGCTGCCAGGAACGCTGTCTCTCCAGTCCCCCACTTCGCTGACTACTTGTCATCATCTCCCTGGAATAGCGTCTTTGGTCTTTGAAGTTCTGCCCCACAATCCCCATGGCTCCATCACAATACCCTGGTTTATTGTCTACTTCCCAGCAGGAAGGGAAGTACCAGAGAACAGAGACCTCATTGTCCTGGTCCCTGCTTCCTCTGGTGCCAACCCCCTCCCTCGGTTCCAGGGAGGCTGAGGGCTCTCCCCTCCACCACAGGTCAGCTCTCCAGCACCCATGCTATTCCTCTGCTCCCCATTTTTCCTGCCATTAAAAGAGGTGCCCGCTGTTTCTCCCAGTCCTGCGGCCTGACATCTGGCAGAAAGAACTCCCCATATGGACTGTCATGGCTTCAGTCATGAAATGAATGGCCAGTTGGGTTACAAGTGCACCAAGGAGACAGCGCTGGCTGCTGTGTGTCAGGGCCTCTCCTGCACCTCTCTAGCTGGGTGTGCAAGGAGTCAAGGCCTTACCTCTCACATGTTGCACACTCTGGATTTTAAAAGTGCACACTTGCCCCTGGACCAACTGGACGTGGCAGCAAGCCTACGGCCCATTTCTCTGACAGCAGGAAAACACACTACTCACTGCTCCTTGGGAGTTGGGGGTGCAGTAGGGATCAGCCATTGGCTCTGATTTTGTCATGATTTCTATCCACAAATGGGAACAAACAAGTTGCTGCTTCAGCATATGGTCAGTGTAAATCTAGGCGGGACCACGAGTTACTGTTGTTGTTGTTAAGTGCCATCGAGTCAGTTCCAACCCATAGCAACCCTGTATAGGGTTTCCAAGGAGCAGCTGATGAGCTTGAACTGCGAACCTTGCAGTTCAAATGGCTTTGCAGTCTGGCACATTAACCCACAGCGCCACACCAGGACTTATTAAAGGATGGGATTAAAGATTCAAAATATTCCTTGGTTGAGACAAATATACACTACTTCTCTGAGTAGCGTCCTGCTCTCCGCTCTTCTCCCTTGATGTTCCCAGGGACCTCCGCTCCTAGACTGAAAAGTTAATCACTCCCCTCCTTGCTACAAAATTTACATTTCCAACCCTCACAATCAGTCCTGATGACAATTATTCACTATTGTATCACAAGAGACCTATCCGCATTTCCTTTCATCAGTCCCACCTAGACAGATTGGCTACTACTCAGTGGAGATTATACCTTCCTCCATGACCTCAGTATTTAGATTCCTTCTTGAAAGCTTGTAAGCCAGTCACTTCTTGCCTTTGAAGCCATCCCCTCATTTTGGGTAGCCAATGTTTGGACATTGCCCATCCCTGTCTACTTTGTGTATAGAGGGGGTGGAAATGATCCTTGTTGCAAAGATCTGTTCCCTCTTTTGAGCTACTGCATCCATAGGTGGTCAAGTTCATCAAATTGTATTGTTGTTGTTAAGTACTGTGGATTCAGTTCCGACCCATTGTGACCCTGCAAAGGGGTTCTGAGGCTGTAAATCTTTACAGGAGCAGAATGCCTCATCTTTCTCCCGTGGAACCACTGGTAGTTTCGAACTGTTGACCTTATGGTTGGCAGCCCGACACATAACCACTATGCTACCAGAGCTCCTATTGTATGGTAGTCTGTACATTCGCTGAATTAGTGCCCTCACATTTGTCCCTATTTTTTCATTGATGGCCTTCATAATTCTGGGATTCACATTTAGGTCTTTATTCCATGTTGAGTTGGTTTTTGTATATGGCGTGAGGTGAAGGTCTTGTTTCAGTCTTTTGCATATCACTTTCTAGTTCTGCAAGCATCTGTTGAAGAGACTATCACCTCCCCATGTGATACATTTAGGTGTTTTGTCAAAAATCAGTTGGCTGTATGTAGATGGATTAATTTCTGGATTCTCGATTCTGTTCCATTGATCTATATGTCTTTCGTTGTACCAGTACCAAGCTGTTTTGACCACTGTAGCCATGTAGTAAATTTTGAAGTTGAGGAGTGTGAGGTTTCTAACTTTATTCTTCTTCTTAAGCAGTGCTTTGCTTATCCTGGGTCTCTTCATTTCCATATAAAGTTTGTAATTGTTTTTCCATCTTTGGTTGGCTTTTGTAAATGGTATTGCTTTCCTAAGGTCCTTTTCAATGCTGTCGTTTTTGTATAGAGGAATCCAACTGATTTTTGTATGTTGACCTTATACCCTGCCACTTTACTGAATCTTCCAAATGAGGTTTAGTAGCTTTTTTACTGAGTCCTTTGGGGTTTTCTATGTATAGGATCATATCGTCTGCAAATAGAGTTTCACTTTCTCTTTGCCAATTTGGATGCCTTTAATTTCCCTATCTTGCCATATAGCTCTGGCTAAGACTTCCAAAACAATATTGAATAGAAGTGATGACAAAGGGCTTCCTTATCTGGTTCCTGTTCGTAGAGGGAAGGCTTTCCGTTTCTCTCCATTAAGAGTAATGTAGGCTGTTGGTTTTGTATATATGCTCTTGATTACGCTGAGGAATTTCCCTTCAATTCCTACTTTGTTGAGTGTTTTTATCAGGAATGGATGTTGGATTTTGTCAAATGCCTTTTCTGCATCAATC